TCGTCGTCGTCTCTCTCTCTCTCTCTCTCTCTCTCTCTCTCTCTCTCTCTCTCTCTCTCTCTCTTTCTTTGGCGGTTATATCGTTCTTTTAATTTATTCTCTCTCCGATATGCGACTGATCGTCGCAATTAATTGTTACTACGTGTTATTACGTTGCATTAGCATGATGATTGCTCTTCGCCGATTATGTTTCTCTTTTATGAATAATCCGCGAGCGCGTGTGCGCCATCGGAGAATGCCGGCTGGAGGGCCGCTCTCCCTACGCGTCTCAATACGCGCATATATAGGTGGAGGACTTTATCCGAGATATCGCAAGATGGCAAATTGCGCCAAAGTAAAGTGAATTATGCGCGAGAATCGCTATGCGATTATCCCGGCGCTGACAAAGCGCGTATTAGTCACGCTATCACTCTCGTTCTTCCGTCTCCTCTCTCTCCGGCGCGCGCTGTTCCGTACCCGTTCTTCGATTCTTCCACTTGCCCACCCGGTAATTTCCCGACATAATTTTCGCATGTAATTGCTAGTGTGCGGGCGCGATTGACTGGGCAATTACTCAGATATTTAAAGAAACGCGATCTCTGCGTCTCGCGCACGAGGGAGAAGGATATAGGCGGGAGGGAGAGGATGCTCGATCGGGCTCTTAAGGTCATCTTAATTTCACGAGAGCGGGTCGAATCCTCCCATTCGCAAAGCAGGTATAAAATCCATCGTTGTTCGCCTGGTCACCTTCGATCGTTCTCCGTCGGTCGATTATGTCTGACATTCTTATGATCTAATTCCAGCAACGGACGACAATTAGCCCGGCGATCTTTCTCGGGCGACGCGTGATCTCTCGGGAAGAGTCCCGTCGTGGCGTCGTCGTGGCTCGCGTGATTCGGGAGGGAAGATCCCGCGTTCGGGAATTTTGCCAGACGAAAAACCGTACGTTTTCGCGACAGCCGTCTGGCTTAACTCGCGTTCGGCAAATTTGATCGATCGGCGGATCCTTCCCCGAACCGATTATCG